TTATTAATCCGAAGTCCAAATTCGTCAATTCGCTTTAAGACCGCTTCTACATGCTTGATGTGATCTGTTTCTGTTTGACTGTACACAACTTCATCGTCGCCATATACCTCGACATTATATAGATTCTTGAGCAGTAGTGTCATTAATCTTCTGAACGTGAACAGTGCACCCGCCAACCCGAACGGTATTCGTTTAAATTGATACTGTTTATCACGTACAGTAAACGCTGTCTTGCTTCGATCACTCTGTTTTATAGGCAGTTGCCAATAACCTGACCGTAAATCCAGCACTGTAAACACCGTGGCATTTTGTAGCCGATCTAATGTTTCCACCACTGTTGGCATTGCACAAGGCTTCAGGTCTGTTATATTATTCAATTCTCTGAAGTCGACACAAAATCTATACTTTCCATTTGGTTTCTTTACCAAGAGTACCGGCGAGCTATATGGGCTGTCCGCTTCCTCAATTATACCTTCTTTCAACATTTCCTGTACCTGACGATTTACCTCGGCCTCTAAATGCACCGGGACACGACGTGTTGCAAATATATTTACTCGACTGTTCTTTATCGGTATTTCGTGCTTTACTCTGTCACAAAATCCATACGGCTCCCCATCTCCAGTGAATAGTTTCGCATACTTTTTGCATAACTCGTGAATGTTTGGTTTCTTTGACGAGACATCCGCTGCAACTCTTATTTCAGCCACTTCGCTACTTTCGTGTATTGTCAATGAACCATATTTCGTGACCACCTTACCGCTTCTTAAGTCAACTATCGCTTTTACTTCTCTTAGGAAATCTGCTCCTAATATCGGTCTCGATAAGCTTGTGGTTACCACGAACGGAAATTTTATCTCAGCATCCCCCACTTTTACGATACTGTTAGATACGCCAAACACCTCTAACATATGGCCTCCTATCGTGTGAACAGCTAATGTACACGGCTTGATTCTCTTACATTGCTCTTTGCCTATTAACGATACTGCTGCACCTGTATCAATCAGACAAACTAAATCTCGCTCATTTATGTTCACTCTCGTATATACTGCCCCTCTGTCTACTAACGCAACAATCCCCAGATTCCTAGGATAGAAAGAACACTCGTTGTAACGTCTAACATATCTGCGTCTTCGTCTTGTTGGACAGTTTATCTTCCAATGTCCTGTCCCTCCACAAGCGTAACATTTATTGTTCCTTTTATTTTTCACTCGTATTGATGCAATCTCGCGCTCCAGCTCCTCAATCTTCTTCTCGACATTACTCATCTCCTGCTTTTCGCACCCGACTGGAGCTACTGTTCGCGACATCAGCTGACGAGTCACCTTCGCCAGTTCACTGATATCCATTGGTTGCGCTGCGTTCACCAGTTTCAGCTGTTGGGAGACGGTGGCAGGCACACTCTCGATAAACTGTGACGCCAACAACTGTGCCTCCGACTCCTCATCCAGACTCGGCAGCGCACGGCGTAACAATCTGGTAAGCTCCACAGCCAGCACCAGTGGGTCCCCATCGACCGGCAACCTCGCCAACCGGAACTTCTGCAGCGCGTCCTCTCTGTCCACTGGGCTGTCAAACTCCGCCGCCAACCGCTCCGTGACTGCCTCCCATGTGGTCTTCCCGCCAGCACCGTCCAGGCTGTCATACACAGCCTTCGCCCTGCCTCTCAGCAGCGTCCCCAGCACCACCAACTTCGCCTTCGGCTCCTTCACTCCCACCAGCTCCGCCACGGCCTCAAACTCCTTCAGGAAGCTCAGCACATCTCCGTCCTCAAACTCCTTCGGCCATGGAATCTTCAACCTTACTGGAGGCAGCGACACCAAATGTAGTGAAGAAGAACACGGGTGAGGACAGCCAAATTGTATTTAGGACAAATTACAGAATTACTTGGTAAAATAGAAAAACCATATAGTAAATCGTTAATTTGCAAAATATCATTCTATCATATCAAACCGGGCTGTTGCTGTTGCAAACATCAATCCATTGTCTCGCATTTCATTGCTCATGCAGTTTCTAACAAATTCCATTGTTTTCTCGCTCTTCTTTTCTTGATCTTCTCCGTCTTCTGCTGCCAGACATTACGTTCTTTTGACTCACGTTATATACTACTTATATCAATATAAGTAGCACGCACCACACTAAGTCATCTACGGAATCCAAATCGTCTAGTTGCATGCAAGCTGTCCACTATACTTTTTTTGATCCTTTTTCAATTATCCTCCATAGTGGTTTCATCTTCTTTGAGTAGATCTTGTAGGGCTTGGAACGTGATGCTGAGAGCTATCTTGGATTTGTCAGTATTTCAAAGGAAGGATGTATTGAACGTTTTTAATGCTGTCTCTCTAGTTGTCCAATGTTTCTTTATCTTCAGTTTTATTTCGGCTACCACCATGTGGTGATCTGAAGCTATGTCAGCTCCTCTCCTGGTTTTTACGCCTTCCATTGACTTTCCGAACTTTTTACTGATGTAAATATGATCCGTCTAAATCTCTGTAGTGTGATCTAATGAGACCCATGTGGCTTTGTGTATGTGTTTGTGTGGGAATATTGTGCCACCTATAACCATTTTGTTGAATGCACGTAGATTTGCGAATCTTCCACCATTCTCGTTTCTTTCTTCCAGTCAGTCCATGTCGTCCCAAGACATCTTCATGCCCGAATTCGGCATTTAAGCCCCCCATCAGAATGGTCAGGTCCCTTCCTGGGCACTTCACTAAGATCGATTGCAGCCTCTAAAAAAACTGATCTTTATCGTCGTCATTGCTATCATTGTTTTGTGCATAACATTGAATAACATTCATTGTGATTTCCCCTTTCTTTGTTTTGAGGGATGCTTTGATGATTCTGGGTCCACGAGGTTCCCATCCTATGAGTAACTTAAAACAACTTATTAATAAAATTATGTATACGGTAGGTAATCCTACCGTACTATCATCATACAACCTGTTTGAGGTATGGAGGCACCTGAAAAGGAAATTGGATTAGAGGTGGTCTTAGTGACATGAGGGCGTGACCACAGTGCCCAAGGGACAACTGCTTGAGGTCGGTCACACACGACCTTTGTATGGGTAATTTTTGTGTTAGCTCCGTACTTGTTAAGACCATATCGCCGGAGACGTATATCCGTGGGATAAGGCGAGGTGTGCATTTTTAGGGTCGACCTTTTCCAACCCCACCTCTCCTTGTGGGAAGGCAGCATCGCTGTCATGCTGGTTGTCTGAAGGAAACACCTTACTGCTGTCACACCTCTGTACAGTCAGCAGTACGACTTCGCTTTCGGACCTTGGGTTTGTTGCTTTTAGTCTTACCGCTCATCAACCGACCTGTCTGACATGGTAGGACCTTGAGGAACGGTTGTTCCAGCCAGTATAGCTCGGTTGCTTCATCACGATAGGCAAGTCTGACCACCACGTCAAGGTAGCAACAACGATCGGGAATCATACAAGCAAAAATAGTTGGTTTCTACAGTTGTGATATTAGTGTTTCGTCAAGAGTTAAAGGCTACGGATGGATGAGAAATAAAGCGTAAAAAATTTCAGACCAAGTGAAATTTCTGCTTTAGTGTTTTTGTGAAGGGATAACATGAAAAAGAGACTTATATATAAATAATTTATCTGGGATTTAATATTTAGTCTACTGATTCAGTATGTATTCAAGACATTTTGGTATTTATTGAACCGATATCTATACTTAACCGAATTTCCTATAGTCAGCAGTCGACTTATACTTTTTGTGAGTGGGAGATAATGATACTAAATAAGTAAAAAATTGTTTAATCTATGATTCAAATAATCGAAAATTTCAGCGGATGCCCAAGTAAGTACACTAACAAAAAAGTTGTAATTTCAGCACGACTATGAGGAATAATTATCAGTGTGTCAGAACTTAATATTTATTTTGATGCTAAATGCTGACTAGCTTAGGAGTAGGTTAGAGGAAAACGAAGGGTGACCAAACCAAAACGTGGCATTTATTCACAAGGAAACGGACTATCGATCTGAACTATATTGGCAGCTGCAGGTTATGTAGATGAGGTCCAAACGTAAGCTGTAATCATTGCTTAGGGAAATCAGGTAACATTATTCAAAAAGGACTATAACGACGTAGATTAATTTATTCTTTATTATCTTCTATATCGCCTGATAATGCAGTGTATTTCCATTTACTGAGGCTGTGTATGTATGTATACGTATACCTAACCACCGGCTAACTAGACGAATTATGCTTCCTAATGTAGGAGTATGCTGCCAAATCAAGGCGATATCAGTTCATTGATAAGTGAACCGAGCAGTGTAGGCAAGCGCAGATTACCTGGTTGAGGTCCGAGTGATCATCGTAACTAGTGGTTAGACTGTGAGTGACATGGCTCAAAGATGTTTCTAATGGTACACATCTATTCACTCTTTATCCTCCTTCGATTCTTGAATTATGAAATCTCACTAAAACTTTTCGTTTCTTTTTCCTATACCTAATCTTTTCTACTACTTTGAGATTGCTAATTTTATTTCGTTGCGGTGTGGCAACTTCAACCTACCCATAGGTTCTATGTTGAATATGGACCGAATTTAGGGAATCTCGTGTACTTTTTAAGCAGTTTCGGCAAACAGAAATAAGATGTCTGTAATTGGATGCAATTATCAAACGTAGGTTTGTGCATACATTTTGAGTGTTACGGCTGATGATATTACCTCGCTGCGAGTGGAGTGACATTTGAGACTGTGACCTACTATTGCTTTCAAGGCGTGCTTTAACCACTAATCAACCGACATCAGATGATCCCAAACATCAAAAATCAGGAGTTAGCAAGGTTACCTCAAAATTGCAAGTATATGACTAAATTTATAAATAATTTAATTCTCTCAATGATAGTGACTGACTAATCAGGAACAGACAAAAGGAATTACTTTGAATATTCAAATAATGACCAGAGATGATCTAATCTTTTGAAAAAATCATAAACAACGAGAAGTTGAGAAACTGTGATCCTATAAACCATAACTTACCTTCCTGAAGTGAAATTATAAAAATTATGAGTACCCATATACTTTTCAAGTAAACGATTAACATGTGTAATTTGTTCAACTCTTAAACGATAAGTCCAACAAGTGGAATCGTTTAATAATGAAGTAGCAGGTGATAAGGCGAATGTAGGTAATAGATAATCATAAATTCGATGTGTACACGAACCGTATGAAGAAAACCCACGAGTTACGCGAATAATATCTAAAAGGCGAAAACGAAACGCAAAGCTGTACACTCAATATATATATATATATATATATATATATATATATACTTTCTATCTTGTTACTCAATACTGGATGCTTGAAGGATTGTGTTGTCACCTTTACTATTCCAGGATTCGACCTAACACCTTTATTTTTCTGTCCTTCTTGGGTACGGCAACTTGAACTGATGTACATACATATCAGCTTCTACGTTATGACAGATCATTTCAGTTTTTTCATCTGCTACTAATTATCATCTTTTTAGTCTGTTTGTAGGCCACGGACTATGTGATTAAAACGTTCGATGTCCAGTTTCTAAATCTAGGATTTGAGCCTTGTTTTTTTGTCGAACTAGGCCTCACAAGTATGGGAGTGGAAGCAAAGTATCAGAGCATTTGTTAATTAAGTTTATTTGTTTAAACACATAAACATTGGTACAAAGGGGCACCAAACAGATATGTGCCACATAAATCAATTGATTTGTGTGTGGGATGTGATACTGCACGGGCGACTAAACCGAAGCAGGTGGCTTTGTTAGGGGGCCACACCCGGAACCTCCGACCTAAAGGTTTAATCCACAAGGCAGTGAAGCAACGTCAGAAGATGCAGACCCATGGTAGCCGGTGATCAACAATTGGTTCATACGCTACTTGTTCCCTCAGGATACTGGAGTCCATGTGCACTACTGATTTATAATCAGGGTTTTCCAAATTCTTGAAGTGGATCCTCCGTATCCACCAGTCCGGTTAAGGCGCCGGACATTCGTCTTTCGTCCTCTCAACTTCGTGAACAACACCCCCCGCCACGATAGGCAGTGAGTAGAAATTCCTTGGGAGTGGTTGTATACGCGTGATCATGTGAGAGCGTTTCGAGAGGGAGAGCTAACTCTTCCAACCCTCGGCCGTACCAGGGCATTTGGGAGCATGGAGAACCAGTCAGACAGTTAGTAGCAACATAGAACCTCGTACGTACGTACATCGGTTCGAGTTGTCATACCAAATTAGCACAGAGATGTAGTTGTCGATTCAAATCCCGTAATGGTAGAAGTGGTAGAGTATAAACAGTAGTCGGAAAGGTTAAGATTTGAAAATGTTATTCAAGGAGTATAATTCAGTGAAATAAATTTGGAAAGAGAAAAAGAACGGGGCATGAAGAATTCAGAAGATGAAAATTTTGGTAAACACAAAGTGTGAATACACCTGCGCCATTGCAAGCGATTTTCAGCCGTCATTTAAGGTCTCTAACCATCGGTTGCTATCATTTTGCGGATCCCAAACAGGTAGTCTACACCTACCAACATGACTCAGTCCACTTGTCAGTGACTTCATGGATTTGTGCCATGTTTTGGTCTGGCGGCCCCTAGCTTTATTCCAGCCTACTCCGACACCATAAAACATCGCACGTCGAGACAGTCGGTGGTTGGGAATACTTAACGTGTTCCAGTCATCTCAACTGATGAAGTTTCACTACCTCATCAATTTCTTTGTCATCCTTACCTAGTGCCCATTTCCTAACAACTGCATTACTGACTCAGTGGTCCCAGGATATACGAGCAATGTTTCGAAGACACTTATGGTCAGATACTAGTAACCTACGAATATTCTCTACTCTTATCGGCCATGTTTCACTGTTATAAAGTAGGACGGAACGAACTGCTGCGCAGTAAACACGTCCTTTGGTTGATAGACGGATATCTCGCCTACGCCATAAATGACGCAAGTTGGGAAAAGCTAGTCGAGCTTTCTGTATCCGTCACACACCAGACCACAAGGGCTGATGAGACTTCCAAGATAAGTGAAGCGATCGACACGCTCAATTACTCCACTCCCTATCATTAGTTCGGGTGTCCATGCAACCCAATCCTGAAGCAACATTTTGCATTTCGAGGGGAGAATCGCATCTCGAACATTCGTCACCGTCTATAGAGAGCAGGCTGTTCCTCGATAAGCTGGTTACCTTCCGAGACATCATTGGATGTCACCATTTGATATCTCATCAACTTCATAAATTGTTTCATTCACACTAGACTCTGCGTCAGTGGCTCAGATAGGTTAAATAGCTTTCCGAAGTTGCCAGATGCTAAAGCTGTTTCTTAATTGATAGCACACTTCAACCACCAAATTTTTACACGAAATGAAATTTTCTCAAGTAGGAACCAACGTTCACCATCAAAGTTGAGATTAGCCAGAGCAGACCGACGTTCCCTCAAGATTTGCTGGGAACTTAATGATTGATTACGATATGACCAACCTGATTTCAACCCAGCAACTTCTATATCGTGCATTGATTGCCGGTGCTGAGGTGGAGTGGGAAAAGAGGAAAGGTGGTCAATCTATGATATGGTCCAGTAGTGTGGAAAAAAGCTTTCCAAGATTGGCATCTGCCGCCCTACTATGAATCACTGGATAGGGTTTTATAGATATTACAACTCAGTGACTTAAGACGTTATCAGATATTGCTCAGAATTAGAAACCAGTGGTGGATCCCGCTGTAGTTTCCTTCTATATTCCTCATAAAACAGAGAACTTCAACTGAAAGGATCCTTCTTATTCGTATCTTTCTAAAACTGACTGCCTATTACAATTCATCCTCGTTCACTCATTTCAATTCATTTGTTCAGTTGACCATCCTTCCATTCCTTTCTCTATCTCCACACACTGTCGTTTTCTTATTGGTGTGGGGCAAATTTATTTTGGCGTCCAGTTGTACTAGTATTTGTGTGTATAAATAAATGAGTAATAAGTACTTAGTTCGCTCATACAAAGGTTGGGAAATATACTGTTTATGTTCTTCAGAAAAGGTGATTAACAAATGAGCCTGTGAACTTACCAAGAACACGAATATTTTCAGGTAGGGCTTTGTTTAATTTATTTAATAAATCTGTGTCTTCGTGTAACTTCGGGGGAGAATAAAAATTAGTTTAATCCATTAATAAAGAGACCTACTTGCATGGAACAAACTTGTCCAAGAGCGGAAACGGATTTGTCAGTTTTAGATGCACGTTGAAAATGAACCTGAAAGTCGGATGGAAATAAACAGAAGGATGAAATGCTGTTTAGCTCTTGTCACATATACTAATATATAATTATCAATAATTGAATGGTAGCCAAAAGCATGTTCGATATCGAGCAGTATTGTCCAATGTTGAGCAGAAACTTATTGAGTTGGAAATGAATGTAACAAGCATTAATTACCTTAAAGAAATAGGTTGTTTAATATAAAACAGATGGTAGCGATTGAAATCAACAACTGTCCAGTCACCAGAAAAGTGAGAAAATTGCTCAGATTATTTCATAATATCACTAGTTTTGTGATGAACACGCTGGGATAAACATCGTTTCGATAACTGATGAAGACAGTGTCTCAACCAACTTAATTCAGTCATAGGAGAGGTAGCTTGGTGGTTAGCATATCTGGTTTTAAACCAATGGGTCATAGGCTTGAATTCCGCTTCCTATATTTTAATCTAGACAACCAGTTAATATCTCCAAACCTTGTACATTGTAGTATGAATATATATATATTAGTTCTAAACAGCTGATTATACATGTGGTTATAAATCAGTTAGTCATAAGTAAATAAGATTAAAAACGGGTTTTGTTGACGGGATGATAAGCAGAATAATAACGTAATATACATTGGACGCAAGTATACAAGTATATGTAAAGCAATAAACTTCACACCATCAGGTCAGAGGTGCGATTCTTGCTTCATTTACTTCAAACTGAGCGATGAGGTAGGTACACCAGTTCATACACAATGTTTTTATTTTATTTTAACACATAGATATTGGTACAAGAAGGCACCAAACACATATGCGCCACACAAATTTCATTTGATATGTGTGAGGGCTGTGATACTGCCTGGGCGCTCAAACCGAGCAATATTGGTGGCTCAGTACAAAAATCTTTACATGGTTATTGAGCTGCGGTACGAAACTACTGGTTTACATCTTAGGCAAATCATATCTATTTTATCGCGTTGGCTTTTATGCTAAAATTTTGTTTGTTGAAGGCCGGGTGTGAGTATCTGACAGTTTGAGACAGTAGCATGAAATAAACTGTCGAGTTTCTTTGGCACGTACTGATGTGCCCTGATACTGTTGAGTAGTAGTTCGAAAAGTTGACAGGTACAGATACACATAAACACTATTACTAAAGTCATACACAATTATTTATTTGAACACAAATATTGATACAAAGGGGCACCAAACAGATATGTGCCACATAAATCAATTGATTTGTGTGTGGGATGTGATACTGCACGGGCGACTAAACCGAAGCAGGTGGCTTTGTTAGGGGGCCACACCCGGAACCTCTGACCTAAAGGTTTAATCCACAAGGCAGTGGAGCAACGTCAGAAGATGCAGACCCATGGTAGCCGGTGATCAACAATTGGTTCATACGCTACTTGTTCCCTCAGGATACTGGAGTCCATGTGCACTACTGATTTATAATCAGGGTTTTCCAAATTCTTGAAGTGGATCCTCCGTATCCACCAGTCCGGTTAAGGCGCCGGATATTCGTCTTTCGTCCTCTCAACTTCGTGAACAACACCCCCCGCCACGATAGGCAGTGAGTAGAAATTCCTTGGGAGTGGTTGTATACACGTGATCATGTGAGAGCGTTTCGAGAGGGAGAGCTAACTCTTCCAACCCTCGGCCGTACCAGGGCATTTGGGGGCAGCATGAGGCCTCGCCGAGAACCTAGCTCAGGTCGCTCGATATAACAATAATTTTGATAGGAATAGTTGTTGACTTACTCTTTTATGTTCTTCACCTGTCAGATTATCGAGTTGACCACAAGTAAAGAGAGCTTTAGACAATTCTCCTTCAATAGTTGGAAAAACAGGGCATCTGATTGGAATTTTATTTACACAAACACAAAGACAGTAATAAAACACTACTGAAATTCCAAATATATAAAATAATCTTACAATTAGGAATTGCCAAACGGTTAAAAAACACATGGGCGTGTAAAAATAAAATCCTCATTTAAGCGTTTTACAAAAATTGTTCTCAACATACGAAGATGTAATTAGGGTAATAAAACATGTACCCCATGAAGATACAAATCAAATGTAAAAATTGAAGAATTGGAAGGAAAAACGGTGTACAAAGCATTAAGGTTAAACGTGAACTCGTATTCTTATATGGAAAACAAAAGTAAACTATATTTGTACAGACGATTATGACTTGACAGTATGTCCGAAAATGTAAAGATGCACGAGTAATCTCCACCTGAAAAACCCCTGTTATCAAGCTTGACAATCAACCTAAGAGTTAACGTCTTAGGAACTTAACAGTCTAGACAGTTTAATTAAAATATTTGGTCCTCAAGAACCAGTATAAGATAACGACTATCAGTCAGATAAACCAAACGTGGAAACAAGGATTTGTCAAAGTTTCCTCACTACAGCGAAATAAAATTAACAATCTCAAAGTAGTAGAAAAGATTAGGTATAGGAAAAAGAAACGAAAAGTTTTAGTGAGATTTCATAATTCAAGAATCGAAGGAGGATAAAGAGTGAATAGATGTGTACCATTAGAAACGTCTTTGAGCCATGTCACTCAAAGTCTAACCACTAGTTACGATGATCACTCGGACCTCAACCAGGTAATCTGCGCTTGCCTACACTGCTCGGTTCACTTATCAATGAACTGATATCGCCTTGATTTGGCAGCATACTCCTACATTAGGAAGCATAATTCGTCTAGTTAGCCGGTGGTTAGGTATACGTATACATACATAAACAGCCTCAGTAAATGAAAATGGGTGGAATATAGTTAGGGGCGGCCAAACCAAAACGTGGAATCAGTGTTTGAAGTCACTAACTTCTGGTCTGAGCCACGTTGGTAGATGCAGACTACCTGATTGAGGTCCGAGTGATCATCGTAACTAGTGGTTAGACTTTGAGTGACATGGCTCAAAGACATTTATAATGGCACACATCTATTCACTCTTTATCCTCCTTCGATTCTTGAATTATGAAATCTCACTAAAACTTTTCGTTTCTTTTTCCTATACATAATCTTTTCCACAACTTTGGAATTGCTACTTGGTTGTGGTCCGCGTGTTTATCGTAACCAATGGTTGGAAACTCTTGATGACATGGCTCAGAATCTACCACAGTAGTGTAGGTGTATACATTCTTTGCCTTCCCTTAAACTATGAGATTAAAATCGCTTCATATCTTTCTACGAACTAATTTTTTCTTCCTGTACTATATCCTTATTGCAATCTTTCTTTTGCATATTAGCACCACTGGATTGACTGCTTCTATGAGTTCGGTCTTTACCTGTTGTGCTAATGAGGCGTTGCAACTTGGACCGATGCACATATGTCCCTGGTCTTACGTTGTGACTGACTTACTGACCACATCTATCTAATACCCTATGTCTAACCTCAACACTTCAGTTGTCCTAGTATATATGAGCAGTGAACTGGTTTGACTTATCGTTTAATTGAGAAATGGAAAGGAAGATAGTCATGAGCACTGGATATGATTTTGAGTTAAATCAAAGTTGATGAGATGGTAAGAACTTTAGTATTAGGTCCATGACACTAGTGACACGTCTGATAAAAGCAATTCAAGTTCGAGTACGCAACCTAATCTTTTTTGTGGATAATTTAGGAGATTGTAAATATACAAGAATACTTTTAAGACAGTTGGAATCCACCTGCGGTTTAATACTGCCTTTTCACTAATATCTGATATTTCGTAAACATATATGAAAGCAGAGCAAGCTGCTGGTCTTTTGTTTGGCAAACAGATGTCTCGATTACATTACAAGTGATGAAAGTTAGCACAATTCAACCGAGCCTTCTGAACCCGTGCCTAAATTTCGTGAGACATCGAATTTAACACAGGTGATAGGAATGATTGTTCTGATGACGTCATTAATCCGGTCTCGTTATTGCATTATGACGAAAGACATCATTATGTCAACCTAAAACTTTTTGAATGGTAGCAAACTACCTAGATAAGGTCTTTTGACTCTGATAGGTCAGTTAGCAGTGGTTTACGCAATGAATACAACTAAAGGTTCCTGATCTTTAGTATTTTTATCATCCTAGAAAAGCTGTTTACGCCTTTATGTAATATAATTCAGTTTATAGAATCAATCTCAGGTAGTAGTATTTTCGCATTCCTCGAAATTCTAAATCATTCACTGAACCCGAATATTGTAAATGGCACGTACTTCTAAGAACACTTCTAGTGTGTATAAATAAATGTATATACTTTGTGCAGCGATATAGGAAATGTCCACGATGATAGAAGCAGCTGCCCTCACCATACAACATAGGATATGAAATCGCTCTTATTAGTCGACAACTGTTTCCGTTAATCTATATTTTGTAAGGAAGTTTCGGTCAATGATACAAACTTAAGGCATGTAGCATGTTAGCGAATGTTTACGTATACAAACACAATAAACTGTTCACAATCAAAAAGTCGAATAAATTGCGCATCAGATTGTCAACTAACCTTTGCATACCGTAATAACCCCAGCCTGAATACATCAACAAAATGGCATTATTCCTACGTTTAGGTCTGGTAGAATGATTGGACGAACCAGGGATTGATTCATCAACAATAGGTTTTGAAGATGGTTGTTTTAAATTGGCAATTTCGTAAGACTTCAAGACGGACATCATAGAAAGAAAGAAATCACCGAAACGGTTTGACAACTTTTTCATAGAACTTCACGTGAAATATTATCAATCTCTCAAACCAAGCTCTTTTTCCCGCTTCTCTTTAAAAATAAGTGCTTTCGCGTAGTCTTGTTGCTGTTTTTTGATAATAGGTCGTTTAAATATATAATACTGGGCTAGTGAAATAACTGTGTACCCTGTCAGGACTACACCGAACATAAAGCAAGTGAAGACTGCACCACGATGAGCAGTCGTAAGAACACGGTTTAATGTGCTTCTTTGGTAACTCTTTTTCTGCATAATAGCATAACAGCACGACCACGCCGTAGCCACTATTTGAAAGCCCCCTAATGTGTCCAACATCCAATATACGGTATTTGAAAATAAAACGCTGTGTAGGAATGATGAAGTTGGATAAATCACCAGCTTAGCTAGTAAGTGAAGAGTGATTTGATCAATGTTAATCAAGTGCAATTTGGAGGTTGGTTTTTGCAACTAATCCATGACACCCGGAAAAGAGGTGTGGTATTTGTTGTAGATAACGTAAATTCATTTCAAAGAACCACAGAAATAGTTGAAGTCAAGTCCGTAAGTGATGAGTCTTATTGATTTTGCGGCCATTGAGGCAGTAAGTTGTCATGAGTTAGTTATAGGGAATTGCTGAAGACTATTTTCAAGGGAATTTATAGGCTTGGCAGGAATATTCGTATAGTCTTTGTTAGTAAATGAGTAGACTCAGGGCCGGAATTGCGATTGCGGAGTTTTGGTGGATGTGGTAAATCTGCGTTTTTAAAAAAACATTAATACAACGTCCTGTCATTAACTGTCCAAATTTTTGAACACTACAATCTTTCTGAATATTATAAGTTATTGAAGTGGGTAAGCGGTCCCAGCCAAGTTTAATATATGCGGCATAATGCATTATTGTCTGCTTCACGTAATTTCGAGCAAACACTACGTGTTTGACAGACCTTTGATTTAAGTAATTAGGTATATTAAACTTTACGGGATTTTGCATGCACTGGGGTCTGTTATGATAAATAGTCGTTCGTTCTTTTAGTTTCATCCATTACTATGGTATTTCATCTTTCAGGTGTTATGACGAAGTGGCCGTAAGATGATTAGTGACGTATGGGATGCACCGAGCTAAACCATCTCTAGAGACTAAGTGCAGAATTTTTGGAGTGAATTGTTGGTACTAGATTTTGGGTGCTTGTTCACAGTTGTTGAGTTATCGTTCTGCTTATGTCTAGATAAGTAGTGAGCGTTGCTATCAGTGGAACGCACCGAACAAAAGCCCGCTCAGAAATGAACTCACCGCTTTTTGTCTCAGCGAGCTTTAAAGGCTTGCGTGAAGGTAGTCATTTCATATTTCAAGTACACGAGGTCAACTACGTGTTTGTAGGCTAGCCTAACTTAGTAGTATATGCGCATTTAAACCCGTATGTTGAAACTAATACCGAATGACACATAGCCATCTGTGTAGTGTGCTTTTGTTTAATTGTTGTTACCAGTAAAATGCGTGTCTACCTTAGTTATACAGATGCTTAAACATCTATCAGAGAAACTGAATCATACAGACATATTTCACAATTATATGAAATAGAACGTAATTACCGTATTAACAATATTTTTACAAAACATCCAATAATCCCTAATCCCTTATTTTCATATTCTCGGAAGTACGAAAAGGTAGACCGGTATTGCTGACGTATACAGATGCGTGTGTAACAATCTTACGGTGTATACTGAATTTATCCAGATAAGTCAGTAAATTTTTATGTCACCCAAAGTTAACACTGTTTGGATAACTTATTATCCTAAGGGCATATATATAGTACATCTAATCCACAACACAAAGTGCCTGTCTTCTTACCACTTAGATTGGTACTGCTTATGATAACTCAATAACTGTTCATTAACGTCTTCATTAGACAGGAATTCATAAAATTATCTATAGGAATAATTAAAAACCTTAAGAAAAGCATTATATTCTCTATGACCGATGAAACAAAGATCACAACACTAATAGATATCCATTTAAGATATTCTGATTAACGACTGTTAAGCACGGATGACAGACATAGTTACTTTAGAACATTGATCTTCCCAGAGAGGATAACATAACATGAATCCTTCATATAGAGCAGGGACTGACTTACTGTCTAATGAAACAATATGTTTAAAGTAAATATTGGTATTAGACAACCTGTAGTGTTTAATAAGGATATATTAAATGCATACGGCTTCATTTTCATTCAAATACTGCTATTATCATAGTCCATTTGTGTCCACTCGTTGATAATATTCAATGACTGTTCATTAGTGCTGTACATGCTATTTGATTCAAATACTTACAATCACATCGAGGAACATTTGTATTCTAGTTTTTAACTCATTTATTTACTTTCAGTCATCTGCCATAAAATAGCGAATACAACATAACTTTGTCTCATAAATAACATACTGTTCTTTGAATTGGCCATTAACACGTAGACTGTAAAAGCGTTCTACTCGAAACAAAGCAAACGAACAGGCAGTCACAGTTTATATAAGTTATCACTGTGGTCCTAGATTTTCAACACTTGCCATCACAAAGGCTATATATTATACATTAGTAGTTAAAACACTGATGATTTAAAAATACATGTCAGTTAGCTAGAAATAACCGATATTGTTACCACCGTCTGATTTGGGATAAAGTTGTTGATGTTTACCACGTGAAAGTCGAGCTTTCGTTAACACAGAGAATGTTAGTATTTTACGTCACGAACGTTAAATGTCAGGGGCTAATTTCATCGCTTTTTGGCTTCAACAGATAAGATCTCGTCAACCGAGTATTTAAGTAGTGTCATGAATTTACTCAAGAATGTTCAAACGATAGAACAGCAGTTGTTGTGGTGTTGTATTGTTAATAGTCAGTAAGATCCTCAACCACGCAAAAGGCAAGCTTACCGGGAAGCCAGAGTGCGAGTCGAAAAATCTGTCTGTAACTAATAAGCGTTAACCAATTATGGGGAATTCGCAGATTACCTGCGTAAATAATTAATGGCGGAAGAGATGAAGATAAAGGCGCAGACTTGCGTTTAGTCAGATGTGTAGTGGTATTGGTCCTGACCACTCAATCCTCAAAGCTGAACATGACACATCTGGGAAAATAGTTATTCAACATTTAACACTGAGGAAGGCCAACAATGGCGAACTCGGGAATATTGAATTAAAAGAAATGGCACGGCTCAGACTTGCAGGCGTGGTCATTTTGTATAACTTGTCTTTACACTTAATATATTATTCTATTTTTAGAACCTCCATGCATCATATTGTTACTTGTTACAATACGATGAGTCAGTGCAGAAAGTCATGAAACTGGCCGCGCGCTTTTCGAACGGGAAGTTTAGTCCTAACGTGATTTGCATATATCAAACTTTTGCTGTGTTCTTACGCAACAAAAGTACCATTTCAGTTCTAAAGAATCTATCCTGAGCTATATGTTCGGTAGATTACTTTTTTTGAGTTTCACTATATTTAATAGTTACCTGTGGTTTTGCCTCAGCTTACTATTCGGGTTTTTTTTGTTTTTCACGTGTAAACTAGTTTCAGTTTATATCACTCGTTTTGTCCATTTTTGTCCGTTTTCAGTGTGCTTTTTAGTGTTTTTTAAAAAAGGTCTTAAGCTCTTGCAAGCATCTATAACATAGTTTGCTTCAACACCGTCATAAAAACTCATGCAAACGTCCGGGATGCCGTTTTGCTGTCACAACTGGCATGCAGTGCGACAACTGGAAAGGTTGGTTCCACGAAGCATGCACAAATCTGACAGCAACTGCTTACAACAGACTCAGCAAGTCAGACCAAAAGTGGGTATGTGTCACGTGCAACACGGACGCAGTAGTCTTGCTGAGTAACATCATTGTCCTACTGACAGGTCTTCGGAACAAGCTGTCAGTTAACTTGGAATACGACAGTAAAAAAACCGACATACAAACAAGAGCGCACAACGGACTCAAAAATAGGGATGTCGATAGGTATACCATCGATGGGGCATCCATCAACACTAATGACGACATGTCGAGGCTCAGTACCATCATTACGTCGACGGTACTAGACTCCCTAGGCAAACTCGAGTCTCCCAGCTCAGGGTCCCTGAACACAACAGTGGTTCCCAAAAACCTTGTAGGTGATTCGACCCACGTTAAGAGAGCCCAAAAGAACCAGACATCACCGCCTAAGCCGAGCAACCCAAGTGTTGCTGCACGGAAAATAACTGGTGATTTAGTCGCACAGTCTACCCCCAAGACTGTTCGTCCGGTCAATAAAGAGCCCAAGATTCATAAACGCACACTGACCTCCAAACAACAAGTTATTAAACCTGAACCCATCGTGAAACCTGGTAAATTAACAACAGTTCGTGACGATTCTCTCATTATCATGAACCTCGTCGACAATCCTGACCTTCCTCTCAGTCTGCAGGACAAAAACGACAGGATGCTGTGGGGTGAATTGAACAAGAAGCTCGAACTTCCCAGAATAGAGCCTTTGACGGTCACCCGGCTCACTCGAGGAAAGGATTCTAAGCATCGAAATCACCCGAGGCTTCTCCGAGTAACACTTAAGAATGCTACCGACGTAGAGGACGTCTGGCTAGCAAGTCACTTACTGAAATCAGATGGTAACGTAAGAATATTGCCCGACATACCGTACTCTGAGCGCAATATCATACGAAACGTCCCTAAAGAATCTCGCGAGAAGTTTTTCCGCGGAAGAAACATAATTGTCCAAGGTATACCGGAAAATGCAGACCCTACTCAATCAAATTCTGACATCAGGGAATGGAAATTCATCAAACAGTCCTTGAGGCTCAAACACATACTGACTCAGCATGTGACGAGACTAGCCAAGAACGACGGTGATCTTAGACCCCGTCTAATGAAGATAACCTTCCCATCTTCCCACATGGCGGCTGCAGTTCTGGAAGCATTTCGTGCTAATAGACGTCGATTGCCACCTGGAATCCACATGCACCCGGATAGGCCATACGAAGTGAGGACCAAGAACAAAGGCAAGTTGGAGCTGACCATTCCACTTGTGGACTGTCTAAACGATAAAAAAACGTGTAAAGGACAGGGCCTACCACCTCGGCAAACCTCATATAGGTGGGCTACCTGTCCATTCACATAAGGTTCATACAGAAAAACAGGACGAAGCTCACGCGTTCCAAATTGAAAGCATAAACTGCTTATATATGAACGCCGCGAGTCTACCAAACAAACTGGATGAACTACGTGAACTTAGCAACGCTAATAAGGCCCATCTGATAGGAATATCTGAAACCTGGATATCTTCTCAGTTCTCGG